GATTATAAGCATAATCGAAATATTCGATTATAAGCATAATCGAAATAATTCGTTTCTTGATATGAATTAGTTACTGATAAGTTACTACACTTCACTTTTTGATTGTTGATCAATATCGTAATAATAATTGGGTTGATTGTTAATAAATTAGTAATGGGATCTATTGATACTAAATTTAGTAATAGGATCTATTATTTTATTTTTTTTACATTCCGTAGCATAGTATAGAGGAGTTTTTTAGTCACCGAAAATTTAATTAGTAATTACTAAATTAGTAACTATATTCGATTATTTTTCGGCAAAGACGACTAAATCGAAAATCGAATGTAGTATATATAGTGCAACTACCGATTTATTCGATATTTTTAGTAACAATCTCCTATCGCTAACGTCGAGCAAAAGTTGTCCTACACACATGCGCGGAGAGAGGAGCTGCTGAACCTTAGCCGTTATTCTATCATAAAACAATTCATGTGTGAATGTAGTATAGGACGAAGTAAAATTACAATAAGATCATTGTACAATCAATTTTTATTTCCACGGAAAACGTAATTTCATTTTGTAAAGAAAAAAGTCTATAAAAATTTAAATAGCTTCATAGTACATATGTAGAGATGCGTAGCACGTGACTGGGTAAACAAACACTATACGAATTTAAACTAACAAAACAAAAACTAAACGAGCGATAGGAATTTTTATTCTTTTGTGAAAGAACCTGCTTGATTTTACGTGCATATTCAACTAGGGAATGATTTGTAAAGGATTTGTTGATTCACATGATTGCTTGGTTTTACCCACGGAAGAAAGAATAGAATAGAAATGGCATCAAGCAACATTTGTATCAAAACCGGTATCGCCACACGGACACATTTGAAAACGTAATATATTATTACATTAGTACTAAGGTAACATAATTTTGATTGGTTATAAATTATCAATCGAAAATAGGCAATAATAAAAAACTTTTGGAAAAAAAAATTAACTTATTTGGATCTAATAAGGTTTTATTTTTACTAGTCACATAAAAGCTAACACAAACTTCTTGGAACAAAAGCAATAAGTTGACAATCTACAGATAGGGTGTGACATTTAATTGATATTGACATTATGTTTCATAACTAGCGGAATATTGAATTAGGCATTGCTTTATAGTTCTATAATTAGGGTTAACCACGGAGTATATGGAAACGGCATTTAAAGCAATTTCTTCGAGAACTAGTGTAGCTGACTTTTACACGCACACGTTTGTTACCAAATACTCATAAGGTTTTACTACACGCAAATATTAATTGATATAACATACGCAGGCGTGTGTATTAATGATTTATTATACCGTCATCGTACTTTCATTAACCTACTACATTTCAAGTCAATCCGACCACACAGTCGTCATAAAAATCTTTATTCTCCCTGAAGTATGATATATTTGTTCAACAATTACCTCTTTCTGAACCGACTGAACTTGACTACACCTATAGCGAAGAAGCGAATCATTTGTTTCCTGAAAACTTGACGAAAAATAACTGACAATGCTTCAGAAATGTTTTCACATTTAGATGTGGTCTATAATTTGTGAATGCGACTCTGAGTTTCATGTCATATATTACCTGATTAACCAAATGATTTATTTCTTAATGAATTTTTCGGTTATGTACATAATTTAATGTGATGTCATGAAATGCCTATAGCAAATGGTGCTACATTTAGTAGGTATCCAGCTTTTACTGCCCGTTGCTTCAGCCCATTTCTCCTTTAAAAAGGATCCGCCGGGAAACTAAAAAAATCAATACAAAAACTGCAAATATAAATCATGCCTGTGATAAAACTAAGAACTCAAGCGGACGAAGGTGATGTATAATTAGCAAGTAGGAAGATATAAATCATGTAGATACGGGAAAAAAAATCTGTAATCTCGTAAAGTCTTCATTTGATACTCCACGAACTTACGTGCATTGTAAAATTATCGACACTGTACCTCTTCTATCTATGTATATTTCCTTTTTTCCATTAAGACATCGTTTTTACTTAAATTGAAAATTTAAAAAGTGTATTGCGAGGGTAGGGACCAAACATTTAAGTAATCAAAATTGTTAGCTTTTAAATACCTGTAAACAATTTATGTTTACACATTGGTACCGCTATAATTAAAAAAATGTTAAAAAACTAAAAAAATGTAATTAAAAAAAACCAAAACCGGGCTTCTAAATACAGAGTTTCTACACATCGATAATTTGATTACAACACGCGGACCCAGTACCAAGTGTAGTACGACACTAGTGCAAGCAATTCATTAGAGAAGGAAATCACTCCCGGAGTATTTTTTAAACTTTGGCTTCTTACGCGACATGATATAATGGCACAATTCGGCATATTTCTATTTTTTCCACAAAATAATCATGTATCACATTTGAACGATGACTGACGTGCTGTTGACACTCATATGCCCGTCTAGTGAAATATATAAGTAAGCTAGGTAACGGGGACCCCGCCCACTAACCAGTCTATTATTAGTATTTATGTGGTCTGTGCTTTTACCACTCGGCCCGCCAAGTCAGCTTGAGGTGAGGGTGAAACTAAATTGAAAAGTTTCTGCGCACACTCCCCGAAATGTATTCGATAGAAAACCGACAAGCAGGCCACTTTTCGGTGATGGTCGAGTTTTTGTAGCTTCGACTCCACAAGATTATTGTTGTTAATAAGTCTCTTTGCTTTTCGCTCCACCGAGTCCAAGGCAGCTAACTGGTAATGGGCAGATTTGTTTAAAGTTAGGTAGCTTAATGCTCTGGCCACACAGAGGCCGCCGCCGTGCGCTTCAGTATGGCAGTTGCAGCGTTACTTTTAATAATGATAATAATTCGTTTATTTGCTTAAAACGTGGCATACCATGTGTTGTTTATAAAGAAAGATGTAACAAGAGACTGTGCCAGTACAGACATGTTTCGCATATATTAAATAACATACAATGTCAATTAGACTTTTTTTCCGGAACGGACATGTCGTGCGCCTGATGGTAAGCTACATGCCTTTCTATAACTGTTACAGTGCCACTCAGAGCTTTAAATTGCAAAGGTCTGAAGGGCACTACTGAGACAAGTTGACAGTCCCATGTGCCTGTAATTTTACCAGCACCCTTACCCTTCAAAACCCAGTAATTCTGACATTACTGCTCGGCGGCAGAAATATCTAAGGTGGCAGTATTACCCTGGATGAACTCTTTCACAAGGAGCTCCACTGCTACTAAAACTACCACAACATCACATTGAAACTGACACTGGCGATGATCACAATATTTTTTATATTATTCTTACAAAAGTGACACTGGCCCAAGCCTAGTGGCCGCCGTAAAGGAAATAATAGTAATAATAAGAATATCACAAACATGTCAAGTTACAAATTAATTTTGTCAAGAATTATAAACATCATGATAAAATCTAAGTAAAATATTTCGTTAACGTCATAAATATTATTTTTATTTAACCATTTGTACGTAAAACTTCGTTTTACATAAACTTATAAGGGGATATTTAAAATAACTAAATACTGGATATAACTTCTTGACTTTAATTCATTTTAATTCATTATCACAAACGTATATTGATTACAATCTTCACCTTAGAATTTTTAGTAAGAATCTGTGTGGAGCACGTGCTGTTTCCCGCTTTTAAGCCCTCTTGATGTCAATCAGATTACCCCACCAAGCGAGAAACAACCCGCGTATAATAATCACAACTTCCGTTTCCTAATCTTATTTAATCATGTATTTTGCTAAATAGTACAATTACTGTATAGCAAAATACATAAATTTATACAAACGCGTTACTACTACTATGTACAATTTTTAGAGATATAAAAATGCTATTACAATCAAGAAACAGCACGCGGTACAGTGGTCACAACTTCCGTTTCCGAATCTCATAAGTATATATTTTGCTAAATACAGCCTTGGCCAAAAGTATTGAGCACCCATGATAACTCACAGTTTTTTGGGGAATATGAAAATGAAATAATTTGAAACAATTTACACATGTTAATATTACTATTTATTAAATAAAAATCAATATTTCGTGTGTCCACCCTTTGCCTTAATTACGGCAGAAATTCTTTTTGGTAGAGAGCGGACAAGATTTTTACAGTCTTCAGGACGTATAGTGTTCCATTCTTGGCGCAGACGGCGTTTTAGTTCTTCCTTTGTATTTATTGGGTGGCGCCTGACGTTGCGCTTTAATAAATCCCATAAATGTTCTATGGGGTTTAGGTCCGGAGACTGGGCAGGCCACTCCAGAAGCTCAATGTTTTTTTCTCTAAACCATGTCATAGTGCTGGCAGATTTATGACATGGCGCATTATCCTGCTGGAATTTGACGCCATCCATATTTGTATCGCCAAAAAGAGTTGAAAATGAGGGCAGCAACGCAGATTCCAGGACTTTGATGTGTTTTGAAGAGTTCATGCGACCCTCACACACAAACATTTCGCCAACTCCTGAATCAGTCATGCAGCCCCAGATCATTATGCTGTCTCCGCCGTGTTTTACGGTTGGCACTATACAGGCTGGACTAAATTCTTCGCCTGCCCGGCGGCGCACAAAAGTCACACCAAGTGTACCAAAAATCTGAAATTTTTAAAAATGTAATGACTTCGGAAATCTAAAATATTTTTGTTATTGAATTTTATTTTCAAATCACATTGTTTAATATCTTAAGAACGTGAAATTGTCTAACTCACCTCAAAGTTTGACTCGTCTGACCACACGACATTTGACCAATATTCTTCGGTGAAACTTTGATATTTTAAGGCCCATTCATACCGAGCCTTCTTGTTGTTTTGTGAGAGCCATGGTTTCTTCCTGGCTTCACAGCCTTTCAGACCAACTTCCTGAAGCCTTCTTCGAGTAGTGCGAGCAGAAATAGGTCTGATTTCGACAGAGAAATCAGCAGCGAGATCTGAAGAAGTTTTCTTCCTATTTTTTAACGACTCTCTCATTAACTTTCGGTCCTCACGATCTGTGGTGATGCGTTTGCGCCCTGTTCTGTATCTGTTACTATGGGACCCAGTAGCGGCGAATCGCTCCATAGTTAATTGCACAGATCGGCGCGAACATTTCGCAGTTTTAGAAATCTCTACCTGTGATTTCCCTTGCTCATGCAGAAGTTGTATCTGCACACGTTGTTCTAAACTAAGTTCGTTTTTTAGGCATATTGCAACAATATCACTAAATGGAACTAAACAAAATACCAAAAGCGCACTAGATCACTGGATGTGTACGTAACGAATGATAGTAGTGAACTGAGAAATAAATACAAAAATCGTAAAATGACAAATTTTATGGCACCAGGTGATTTATTGCTAGTTACGGTGTGGGGGTCATTGTTTTTAAACCTTTGTAGATGCCGAAAAAATAATCCTTAACAATAGGACCTGTTTTCTGCAATACTTATTGTGCCCGTTCGGGATTTTTAGGGTGCTCAATACTTTTGGCCAAGGCTGTACATAGTACAATTACTGTATAGCAAAGTACTCAAATCTATGCAAATGAATTACTACTATTTATGTACAATATTACAAAGATATTTTATAAATACTAGTATAATCGCGAAACATCACACAGTATAATAATCACAACTTCCGGTGCCGAATCTAATTTAATTATGTATTTTGCTATAGAGTACAATATTACTGTATAACAAAATATTCAAATTTACCCAAACAAATTACTAATATTAATGTACAATATTATAAAGATATTTTAGGAATGCTAACACTTAACTGTAATAGTTTTCTCAAGTGGTATTTTGTTTATGTCAACTTTTTAAACAACTTTTACTGTATTTAGTTAAGTCCAAGTCTATTCGGGTTTCTACAGACTAGTATTCACATCCCTGGCTTTCTTAAACAAATATATTATTTTGTACTCACAATTAGTGAACTAAAAATTACTGAAGCGCAGACTCGCTACTGCCGCGTCACAGCTTCTATAAGCGTCTAAATTGAAGGTGCCCTATCTATATAAGACCAATAACTATCCACTTATACGCCGACCAATAATACTTCATTAAATATTTAACAACTCATTGTTTTACCTCTATTTCCAGGACGAAATCAAGAAAGTAGTACACGGCGTCTGCAAGCGTATGCCAAAGTCAGTGAGACAAGAATGCGACCAGTTTGTAGAGAAGTACGCTGACATCGTGATCAGCCTGCTGGCTCAAGAACTGGAGCCTGATGAGGTCTGTCGGGAGATGAAACTGTGCGACTCTACCGGCGGATACAATGCTGCTAGAGGTACGATTACTTTTATTAAATTTTTTTATTTATGCAAGTATACAATACAGACTAAAATCAATAACTTCACCACATTATGTAAATTTACATGGGCAGTTCAGAAAGTAGTCCACAAACATGTACACAAAGTTAGTACTAATTAATAATTGTTAACATCTAGTGAACAATATTTGAAATCTTTATAATAATAATCGAAATCCTAACTATTAATCTTACATGCAAATACTTAATATTAATTTTAAAGTAAATTTTACATCGGTTACAAGTGAATAGACGACACTGTTAGATATTGACAATAATACGAACAACAACCACGACAACAGCATCCAACCCTTTCGCAAATGGCGTTTCGAAAGGCGTAATGGCTACTGCTGAAGATATCAATCTCGGAATTAAAATACAAACGCCCAGAACAACAACAAATAAGACCAGTGTGAAAAACGACCCTGTGCGACGTAGAAGGATTGAAACAGTACAGCACAAGTCGGCCAACAGGCAGATGATCGATCTGATGATGGGTACTGCTCCGTATATGCAGGCAGTGCACCGAAATGTCAATGTAACGAAATAATATTATTGAAACACAATGTGTATTTGTGTGTGTGTGAATAGGCATTTTAAATTACGTTTCAAAACGGGAATTAACCCCATTAAACAATTTAATAGGTATTTGCGTTTACGTTTTGGCGGCCACTGCAACTTGGCCGAAACTCCAGGATAATAGGAAGGTGTGCAAATACCTATTAAAATATTTACTTACTTCGGTGACTCAGCGAGCTGAAGTAGATCTTGGCCTCCGACACCAAAGTACACCACTTCCGGTCACGTACCAGTTCTGACCATTCGGGTACATTCTACTCCCTCAGGTCCTTGGCGACTCCATTCTTCCAGTGATATCTCGGACGCCCCATTGGACGATGCCCCGTGGTTCGCCCTAAATACGCTCTTTTGGTAGCTCGATCCTCTCCCATTCTTTTCACGTGCACCAGCCAGCGAAGTCGGACGGACTTTACTTCTCCAATTATGTTTGGCTCAGACATTAACATTGCAATGTAAATTGTTTAATCGCGTTTATTTCCATTTTGAAATGTTAGTATAAATTAACGAGTAAGTATAGGTTAAATTAGGACAAGCGTGGTCTATATTTAATCTTTTTCTTAACTACAACACTGCAGTTTCTGTGCAGTTTTTTAAACTAGGTACAAAAGTATAATATACAGGATGAATTTTTAGTCATCGTCCAAACTTTCATATTATGATCTTTAGTGACAATATAACATGCGCAAATTTTCCTTTTAGTGTAAATCAATACTAAAATTAAGATATGCCATCGCAAAATTGTTTTAAAAAATTGCGCGCATGGTGGACAGCCTACTCGATATGCGCGCTAGGCCACCCCCCGCGTCATTGATAAAATACATAAGTTGCAAATTTTTCCTTCATACTTTCACAGGCTTAGGACCGTCAAGTTACAAAAGGCTTTTGTGATGTTATTTTAGAATGTAGACAATTAATTCGAATTCAAGTCAAGATTTTGTTACATTAACGCACGAAAACGAGAGCGGAAGTTATTTATAAGTAAATTGTTTTAGAGGTTTGACAAAATTTAATGATATTATTACAAAATAATGATAAAAATAATGCACCAGATAATAACACCTAATTAGGAAAGTTCGTTTCCCGAACTTAACTTCTACGCATTTAAAGCGTTGTGTTACCGAAGGCCATCGAAGAATATACTTATTGAATTTCAAAGTCACTAAAAATTTTACCATGTGTAGAGAACAAAAGAAAATAATCTACTTTTATTTGTGAGACAAACAAATAAAAGGTTCGCTTCCTACGATGAATTGTAACGAATTAGTATTTAGAAAGAATCTTCCCATCGCCCTTTTGTTATCTACGCACGTGGTGTTTTTTATTAGTGAACTAGAAACATTTTATAATAATATCAATAAATTTAAACAAAACATCGATTTACGACAAATGTAGTCCGCACTCGTATCGTACACAGAACTATAAAAATAAAAGCAGGCCATGCCTTTTGCAATAAGGCGTATTTAAAAAATTTGAATCAACTTATGTACATTTAATTAAAATGAAATAAAAATTACCTTAGCGTAACAACTTTAACAGTATTTTAATAATTGCTCAAAATGTAAACCATTCCTCTCCAAGCAGATTCTTGCACGTTTTTGAATATTGTTTTGTATTTTGTTCAGCACTGTAGTGTCACTTTTCACTTGTGCAAATGCACTTTCAATTTTTAGTTTCAATTCGTCGAGGCTCTGGGCCTCCTCCATATACACGCGGCGTTTAATTTCGTCCCAGAAAAAAAAGTCACAGGGTGTGACGTCTGGTGACCTGGGTGGCCATGGAACGGGACCCCCGCGGCCGATCCAGCGATTCCCGTATTCCATATTTAAATAATTCCTCACTTCGATAGCGTAATGTGGCGGTGCACCGACATGCTGATAATAAAAAGCAGGATGGTTAATGAGGGCTAGCGGTACGTCGTCCATAAAATCAGAGACTATGCTTTGTAGCATATTGAGATAGGTGCCTCCGGTCAGCCGCCCCTCAATAAAATACGACCCTAGAATTTTATCACCGACAATCCCGGCCCACACATTTGCACTAAAACGCACTTGGTGATAATTGTCTTTTATCATGTGCGGGTTGCGATACGACCACCAATGTTCATTATGTTGGTTGTACAGCCCCACACGTGTGAATAGGGCTTCATCAGTCCATAAAATGACCGCATCGGGGTGTGCGATCAGCCACTCACAGAAAACTCGACGAGGCAGCGCGTCTGCTTCATTTAGCGTTTGCACTTTTTGAAAGTGATAAGGGTGCAATCCAGAGGTGTTGAGCAGCTTCCACACAGCGTATTGACTAACGATGAACCGTCGAGCTGCATCACGTGTACTTCGTCTTGGATCTCTCTCGAAAAAATCGAAGATTTCGTCTTCGATTTCCACGGACAGTCGCGGCCTAGCACGTCCTTGGGCGTGTGAAGGCGTCGTAAACTGGCCATGGTCTAAAAGCCTCTGTATGACATGCAGAAACGTTTGGCGGTTGGGGACTGTAGGACTTGCTATTCCATAATTGCGAAGGCGAGGAATGCTCTCTGCCTCGTATAGTCTCTGGGCTCCGTTTGGGCTTTCATCGCTTATAAAATAGCACTTGACCATTTCAAAGTACTCGCGGTTTGTATACATAGTGACACGTGAATGCGTTTTCAATAGCGAGATAGACACACACATACGAAGCGCTACACGGACGTGTGACGACTGAAGTGACAGCCGCCAATAGCGTTCGGCGCGGGCGGCGGCGGTGGCGGCATTTTGCTTTGGCGGCCTATGATTGGAGAATCCGCGCGGTTAGCGTATGGCATTCATTCATAGACGCATAATCGTAGTAAATAATAATAGCGTAAATTGGTAACCAATTTTTGTCGAGTATTACTTCGGAATAAATACTTTCATTTTGAAAATAGACCTATCAATTTTTTTTCGAAAATGGAGTTTTTGAATGATATCTAGCGGCTGGAAAAAATTTGGACGATGATTAAAAAATCATACTGTATATGTGGGCTGTTCAGACACAAAGCTTTGTTGCAATCTGACAGTTATTAAACTGCATCACTACTGCACGAAGATTACTTCCAGTAGTAATGCAGTTGCACTAGCTATATTGAAACTGCACAATGGCAGTTATATGCAATCGGAATGCAGACTGAATATACCTGTGTTGCAACAGAAGAGATCCTGGACTGCGCGGTGTGCGAGACGGTTGTGTTGGCCGTTAAGAAGGTTCTGTCCAACGACAAGGTGGACCATGACATCGTACACATCGTCGAGAAGTCCTGCGGGCTGTTGCCGGCCAAGTATTCCGCGAGGGTAAGTGCACATATGTCCACAAGGACAAAAGAAAATGCTTTATATAGTTGATAAAGCATTTTAAGGATTGTAGACAAAATTAGAATGCTTTATTTATTAAAGTATTTAAGTAACTAATAAACGGAGGCTCAATTTACATTACGCGGAACGGAATGGAAATGAAATTTTGTTACCATAGCATAAGGCACTTAATGTTAAGGCGAGGTATTTCAACGCGACCCTACATTTTAGAAGGTGAGTATGAGTGGCGCGCGCTTAAAATTAGTATAAATAAAATAAAAACAGGCGGCGAAAATTTGACACAGATCCGACGTCAACAAACGTCCGATGGCGATATCATATACATCTATTTGCCAAGTGTTATTGAAATCGGTTAACGGAACTTGAGAAATCCTATAAACTGTGACTGTGAATCCTCATTCCCTAATTTTAAAGGTATATTTTCTTTACATTTTAAAAGGACCATCACTGAAGAATCATCGAAATCGGTTCATAAACGTCGGAGTTATCGCGTAATATACATACAAAAAAATACGAATTGAGAACCTTCACCTTTTTAAGTCGTTTAAAAATAAACAAAAATTCGCTTCCATTGCGATGGAAATCGAGCCTTAAAAACTTACAATAGTAATAAAAAAATGTAATGTCGAAATTTCGTCACGTAATCATTTGGTTAAAAAAATCATCTGCTTATCGTATTAGATATTTTTAGTAGCAGTAGATCTCCTTGTGAAGGAGTTCGTCCAGGGAAGTACTGCAACCTTACCTATTTCTATCGCCAAGCAGTAATAATCACATTACTGTGTTCCGGTTGTGAAGGGTAAATCAGCTTATGTTTCATGGTGACGGGCGCAGTGGCGGCGCCCGCAGATCCCGCAGATCTTTATGACTAAAGCTCTGAGTAACACTAACTGTTATGGGCAGGCGTGTGGCGTACTACCAGGCGCACGACTTGCTCGACGCTTCACTTGGTATTTAAAAAAAAAGATATGGCATACACTATAATAATTGCGATCGTGGTGAAAGGATTTGCCAATCGACGTAAGGTACTCGCCGATTGTTGCCCAGGTTGCGTCAGACATATAGGAAACGGATGGTGCGTCGAGCGAGAAGGCTCATTTCGTGCACTTCGCTATGATAAAGAAATATTTTTGTAACGTCAAATAAACACTACCATTCCAATAGATTGTTAAGTAAGTAAATTTCTGTTCCAGTGCCACACTATGATGGAGATTTACGGTGACAGCGTGATCCACCTCATCGAGCAGTACGGCACCAAGGTGGTCTGCCAGAAAATAGGCCTTTGCTCCGACAGGTCTTCGGCTGCCTTCCTGCATATGTCTAAGAATTAATACTACCTTAACTGTAAGTACCACGGGAAGTAGCCGCATATAGAACTCCGTATTAATTTGTTTCCACAACCGATACTTGTGCAATGCGCAACGGGAAGAGCGTGCCGACAGCTCCGATACCTATCTGGAAAATAGGGAGAGTACTGTACGTGCACTCGAGGCACTAGCCTCTCGAGAACCGGATGAAGTCAAGTGACGAGAGGTCTGTGAAACCTTGTACACTGGTGCTAATTTGGGGTCAAAATCTGAACTTATAACGTTTCTGTGCGCGCACAGGTCATAGTGCCCTTCCCGCATACCCAATACGTTGATAGGGAGGGTCACTATAATCGAAATTTACGTAGAAAAGCTATGGGAGTTTGTTTACTCTGTGGGCGCTGGATAAGTAGGTCTCCTGGTGGGACCAATTTGGGTAATGACCTTTTCCAAACTGTTTCTCGTTTGGGTGCTCTGGGTAGTGCCCCAGAGTGAATTTCGTAGCTCTGGTACTCATAATACAGGGAGTGACCTAATGTGGAACCTGGTAATTGGTGTGGCTGTCTGGCACAATTAAAAGAAAAAAGAGAAATTTCGTAATTGACAGTGGCGGAAAATCTACGCCAATATGTCAATTTTTATTGTAATAAGTTTCCTTTAATGTATAATGAATTAAGTTTAGTAACGTATGTATAGTATGATTAGACCAACAAAAAATCATTCCAAGTATCCATATATAGTCTGTGGTGAAGCTACAACAGTCCGAATAGACTAAATACAGTTGACGGTCAATTTATATAATCGCACAAGAAAATAAATACTGTTGTAATTCAAAAGTGACAAAATAAAGAAAACACGATTTGAAAGTTCAAAGAATTACTGAATGGAACCAATAAGTTTGTATTCTCGTTTGTAAGTGGATAACTAATAATCCCATTATTCGCAATAAGATTCATTCAGTATTTTTTTTAAATTTTCAAATCGTGTTTGTTCAATTCCATAATTTTTGAGTTGCGACAGTATTGGTTTCATATGCGATAAACATATCGCACTGTTTATACAATAAGAATAGTGTATTAACTCAAAAAGTGTATTTTCTCAAAATTGACGAAAAAGCTAATTACTAACTATCCGTGAAAGATCATTTAAATCTAAATAATTGCCTACTTGTCAAATATATTTAAAAGTAAAAGGGAAACAATAATTTCATATTTTTTAATCAGGACAGACCTAGCTGACATAAAGTGTGTCTCATTTTGAGTTAAGTAGATATATTTTAATTATTTCGTACAATATTCTAACGACAATTTTATTGACGTGTAGAGAATTAAATTTTATATACAATAATGATAAAATCTTGAATTTCACATATTGCGAGTTACAGCACTATTGTAATAGCAGTGCGATATAATGTATTGTACCTTATTTATTCTCATTTCAGATGCTGCAGTCTCCGCAAGATTGTAGTTTATCCATATGCGTAATCTCTTTTATGTATCATATTTACTACTTAAGCCATTTTTTTACCAAATTGCGTAGAAGTAAGTTTGGTTTGTTGCAACAAAAAATATTGTGACTATTCATGGATGAACTGATTTATTCATTTTTATTTGAAGCCAATCTTGTCAAAACGCGAGAGGTGTATCCGTTGTTATTTCTAACATTCCATAATGTTTTTATATTTAATTGTAAGAAAGTAAAATATTTTTGCAACAGATTAAAATACGAAAACAAAATAAAAATTTCAAAATATCATAGGTGTTGCTATTTTAGTTCAGATTTATCAAATTTAGTTTAAACAAAATTATGTTTTCCTTGTGAATTATCGCGTTTTGCAATCGGTCAAAGCAGTCTGCTTGCAAATGATGCAGTTGCACTAACTGCATTAAAACAGCATTTGAACAGCACAACGGCACTTACACTTCATTCGGAAGGCAGAACGCTTCAATATACCAAATGTTGCAACAAAAGAGACCCTGGAGTGGGCGGTGGTTTCGGCCGACAAATGCTGCTTTTCAACAGTGACCCATTTTTTGGACATATTACACAATTGCATTAAGAATGCAAGGTTATATGGTAAACAATTTTCCATTGGTTAAAATCAAGCGATAAATTGACGGTATACGATTTGTACACCAGATACGTCTCAAGTTATTTTTCAAACCATCTTCCCGATGAATTACACGTTTTTGAAATAGTTCGCTGTTCTAGAAAGCTGTCTGTCTATATATTTTTCTATTTACAATAAATATGGAATTATGTGTACTTATCGTTTGCAAAATAGTCACAGTAGTTTTGTTTTGTTTTTAGCGTAAGGGTTTTGTAAACATTTCAAATATCTTTTTAATTGAAAGTGAAGTGATTTTTTTTCAACTAGTAATACGTTTATTTGCAACGAAATCAATAGTTACACACCGTGACCTGTGATAACTTCTATGTAAACTGTTTCTAAAATAAAGTTTTAAATTACATATTTTTGTTTGTATTCTTCATATACAGTCCTTTAATATCGCACATGACAACTAAGTATTATCTCAAAATAGCTTTAAGTTACATTAATATTACCTATTTAATTTCAAAGCGTGTACGAATGACATATAACTATAGCGAAATTTTGGAGACAAATTATTATTATAACGAAATATTGAGATAAAATATAATATAACGCAAATTTTGAGATAATACCATGTTAGTAGTCAAGTGCGATATTATCTCTAATGACAAAAAAGTATATTAAAAACTAAAATATTAAAAATATGCATGCTTAGCTACTAATGTCACTGAAAAATATTGTTGCCATATTTATTGTGTGTTTCGTTCAGTACTCTGAAGTCACCAAAACAATCTGTCAAAAAGACGTAAAATTTTTTTTTTTTACTATTGACCATTGTGACATTCGGTGTTCTCAGCCTAATGACCGTAGTCATTTCGGTGTCCTCAGCCTAATTACCGTAGCTATTGTTTTTTCTCGCTTAATATACCCAATAACATTGAAATATGAAAAACTTTAAGCTAACTATCAATATGTCTAAATGGTATTAGAATAGACCAAGTAGTTTTCGAGTTATTAAGACACAAATATTTTATGAAACGGTAATTAGAAAGTTCAAACATTTTTAAGAAAACATAAAAACAAAAATTATAGGGAATCACTAACAACATGTAAATAACGTTGATTTAAATAATTTTTTTCACTTTTTGTAATGAATTACACTGATATAGACAATTTTTTTTAACTTTTAAGGTTTTTTAACGGCAGAAACAATTAAAATGTAAATTATTAATCTGTTCTTGTACCAGCTGTGATTAATCATAAGAATTGTAGTAATTTTTAATCATTATCACTAACCCAATATTAAGAAAGTTGGTTGGTTGGTTTGTTAAATAAAATTACGTATTTTTATTTAATAAATCAGATGCTGTAAAGTTATCAAAATTGAGATAGTACCGATTGCCAGTTCACAGTCGATATTGATAGTTAAGCTTAAAGTTGTTCGTACGTCAATGCCATTGGATATATTAAACAAAAAAAAAACAATGGCTACGATAATTAAGCTGAGAACACCGAATATGAGAATGGCCGTAATCTGTCAAAATTATTTCATTTATACTTACGTTACGGCATGGCAAGGAGTTTTTAGATGATGAACAGTGGTATACCTTACTACCTCTACCATGCCGGACTGCCACGCAGAGGTCCCAGGTTCGATTCCCGGGCCGGTAAAAATATTTGTATGGCCTATTTATTTCCCTCGTAAGTTTGGGTGTAATTTGTAGTTGTCTATGTGTATCCATTGCACCCGCGACACAGGGTTTCCCTAGTGCGGGACTATGTTGAGTGTGTGCGTTATTGTCATAATTACCTTGATGTTGTGACATTGCACTCGAAATTTCAATTATAATGGTCGTAGCTACAAAAACAAAGCTGCGATAAGCTTATGGTGCCTCTAAGGTAGCCCTATATTATGCAGCACAAATCAAAAGTCCGACTCCACTATTAACGGACGCGACTATGATAGGTAAATTTAGAGCGGAGTGAGGCGGAAGGAATTCTGCCGAAGGTCGACTGACGACTTTTTGCAAATGCGCCTTTACGGATACCACGCCGGCAGTCTCCCGAATTTAGGTTATTCACCTATATGCAATATTCCTAGAATACGATTCTCTTCTTCAGCAAGGCTACCATTTTTAACCTTAAGAGTGATCTGAAGAGAGGCTAGGCGCGAGCACGATGTCGCAACTATATGCTTCGGCATGCTTAACGATACCGCGAAGTAATTACAAACTTCTATTATCAAATTCTTGATTATTTTTCCTTGATGACCTACTGAGTGAGTCGGTGAAGTCGATCCTTTACGTAACACTATTTTTATTTTATCAAAAAATTTCATCCCACTAAACGTCAGTTTATTATCTCTTAAAAATTGCTATGATCAATTACAGAAAACGTATAAAAATATGATTCTGACATTACCTTTACCTGTAGTTTCTACCATGACTTAAAGTATTGCTAGATTTTTAATAGACTTCAAAAAAAATACAGTAGAATTGAACTATTCTCAATTCGACTGTATTTTATTTAATGTATGCTACGCGATAACGGCATTTGTGAACCGATTTTGATGATTCTTTTTTTGTTGGAAAGAGGGTACCTCAGTATTGGTCCCATTTAAATTTGAAGAAAATATTCCACCTCTAAGGGTGGGAAACTAGGGGATGAATCCGGTTTGGCGCAATTGCCGGTAACCGATTTCAATAAACTTGGCAAATAGATGTAATTCCACGAACTTTTCGTCGAGTTTTTTAGTACTCTGTACTGAGATTATGTGTAAAATACGACGATGGAAAATTTTAAATCTAGATAACTAGGTGTGCTGTACTTAGACTTTATTTGTAAGTACAGATTGATAACACCACAAACTCGCATAAACCACTACATCAACATATAAGATTTATTTCCAATTTTGGTAAGCTCTAAATTATTTTTTTTTATGTTAAAAATGGCATATTGGTTAACAGTTAGTAACAATATCCAAATGTGACTTCTCGCGGCCTGCGGTTACTCGGGCTGCCCCGCGTCGCGCCGGCTTATACTGGCGTGCTCGCACCACAGGCAGATCGGCACCCGGTGGCGGTCATACTCTCGCGCCGCGTCTTTGAATTTACCAATACATCCGATGGGCCCTTACGGGCTACACTCTTCCCACGGCGCATTGGCGCGCCTATGTGGGAAGCCACTTTCACTCCCACTGGCAGAAGCGCCCATTAAAGGTTGAAACTATATTGTAAAATGTCCGTATTATTTTCAAATTTTTGTCCGCCAGAATTACAATTGTGTTCGGACTTTCAAGAATGCTTGAAAAGCTTTTCAAACATTGTTTTCAGTACCAGATGTCGGTTGTTCTGCAGGTTTTGCAACAGCGATTTGGGATTGCTCTGAAACCGGTGTATGACAGCGAGGATCATCCAGAGCTTCTGGCGTTTGAGAAGTAACTTCAGGTTCATTAGGGTTATGACTTTTTAAATATTCAGCGAGCCATAAGATCGGTTCCGCTGGACGTTCGTGGGCCAATGCTGTAAGCCCTGGTAGAAGAGTTTGTGTGATGTTTTTTTGTATGTAGTCGCCGACTTGCCAATGACGAAGCAAGGGACCAACAATCACTGTAAAGTAAAAACAAGCCGAAGTCAGTACAGGCCTAAAATAAGCCTAAAGAGCCATACATCCTTTTATGTTTGTAGGAATTATCATATTACAAGAATCACGAAGCTATGACCAGTAAAATGTCCCAGGTTTTCCAATCCGACGTTTATAAAGAATCAGGTACAACACTGCGCGTTTAGATCTCTGTGCTCAAGGGTATTCGTATAAAATAAAGATAGTCGTCGATTGTCCAAAAAGCAATTCTTACTATGTTTGCTCATGTATCTCGTAATGATGATTCGATAGTAAGTTAATCTGGCGAGTCGAGTACTGCAGCTAATGAGTTGCTATATTGGCCGATAAAAGCTTTCCAGGATTGAGCGCTGCTGCAGCGTCCGTCTACATTTTTAATAAAATGAGAAAGTCATCCTTTTTCACAACCGAGGTAAATATGTGCGCTCTCCGAATGATAACCCTAACACGTGTGCATAACAAAAAAGTACTTGAACAGGCGATGTTACCACATTTAAGTGATTTTCAAAAAAAATTGTTCTACGGGGAAAAACATTTCGTTTTGTAGTCTATCCAAATGCCGTTTTGTAGGGTCAATTTTCTTACGAGGAGAATATTAACTGAATAGTGGTCATACCTGTTTGTTATTGTACCTACTTCTACAAATGTAACACTGAATCACATAAAAAGCGACTAAAACACTAAAGAAGCAGGCACCGCTCCCCATGTTATAGTGCAACTTATAAGCAACTGCCAACGTTCCGTTTCATGACAAAAAAATTCATTTATTTTTCAGAAGCTATTAAAGAGTCTACTAACTCGAAGGGAAGAAGAAATGTATTTCCCTTTGGGCTTCGTGCTGGTTCTCGCTGCCGTGCAGGCCATTAAAAAAATCGCCGTACTTAGTGCGACGGCCGTAACATGCGCGGAGACTGTCCGGCCAGTACGCCTGAGCCTCCGCTACCCTGTAATAATAATAATAATAACGTGCACACTCAACATAGGGAACAACACTAGGGAAACCCTGTGTCGCAGATACCATGGACACACACATAGACAACCACAAATCACACCCAAACCACGAGAGAAACAAATGTAGGCCATACAAACGCGTCTCCCGACCCGGGAATCGAACCTGGGACCTAAGCGTGGCAGTCCGGCATGGCAACCGTTCGACCACAGAGGCAGTTAAAATAAAATATAAAGTTAATTAGTAAAATTAGCAAAATGCAGTCTCAGCTTTGTTAAACGATTACGGGCATACACGTAGACACTCATGTCGTGTGCAGTCGAAAATCAATCCTTGTTCTCGAGTTTAATTTATTTTTAATTTAGAAATTTATTTCACGCCGTATGACCCATATAATATTATACACACACACAATACAACAATATAATAAATTATGTTGTTATATTACATACAATACTTATAATATAACAACATAATTTATTATATTGTTATACATACATACAATACTTATAACAATATAATAAATTATGTTGGTATATTATTAAGTTGGCGACTTGTGGCGCTATCTGGTGTCGGTGTGAATGCCGATATACGGCACCCTTCGGCCAAAACGCCCCCTTCATGAAGGTCGACAGATATTCGGTCAGTACTCTCACCACAAACGAATTTAAATTCACGTTGGGGCGGGACTCCAACCGCTCGACACTCAGGGTGTATTTCGCTTTTAGCCTGATGTACTCCACCATCTCCTCAGACTTCGTTGAGTAATGTGATCACGACAGGTACAGCAGCGTCGTCGGTATGGCCGGACGCAGCAAAAATCCTATCAGTGCTGTGCCGCACAGGTTAGGGATGGTGGGTTTCCTCTTCCTGTTCACCACCTTTGTAAAACCGTACTCGTCACACTAATCCGTCTGCCTCAATGGTTTTGCGCCTACAGAGACAAGCACACGGGGATTGCTTTTGCCTTAGCCGATTGCCGCCCCTCGAGTTTCGAAGTGGCGGGTCGGCTGGTACAAGCAGCTACAGCAGCGTGCATATATGCACGTGCAGGGGCTGAATGCATACGCCTGACGTTTCCATTAATGAACATTTTAAATTATTTTCAGACAATGACTGTAAATAGGTACCTGACCTTCATTGACATGTTGATACTTCGCGGAAGAAAAGGCATAAAAGCCAATTTTTAACCATTTTATGACTTATTGATGTGAATGAGTAAAATTTTTACGGTCTTAGGAACCTTATACTAAAAGTTTTATTTACAATTCTACCATAATAAACTGGAAAATATAAAAAAATGAAACTGAAATGTTCCTGCTGACTGTCACCTATCGCAATACTACATTATTAATACGTACTTAAAGGCAACCTTTAAGTATTAATAAATGTAATATTTATTATTATTAATATTCCATCCAAGTCTTTTTAATAGAATTATGTAAAACTATTTCATCTTTTTAAATAATGATAATTCAATGTTCACCAGCCTTGATTGGCAAAAGTGGATCAGGTTTTTTTTTCATAATAAATATTCATGTATATATTATGTATTAATAAATATCAAACATTCACATCTGCAGATCTCAAGGTGAAAACATTCGCATTCACGTCCGCATCTACAGATATCGACATAACCCACATCCGCGACATCACTGGTTCAAGTTTGTAGTACAACGCAGTGTCACCGCTCAGGCGTCGCATCGAAGACGTACCGCATCGAGCGGTATCACTCTAAAGATACATTCCCACGGCCCGCGATGTCAAACATGCCGATTTGTATGGGCAAGCTCGCGAAACGAGAGCGTCCGGGCGGCCTCGGGCCGACGCGCGTGGCAGCGCGTATTCAAGTCCAGAGCTAGTGACTTAACTTGACGTTACCGACCAGAGGCGCATCCGAACAGGCTGCCACCGACGAGCACGGGCGCGCTCAAGCGGCCCTCTTTTCACGGCGCGTTTCCAAGAAAGGGCCTGTGGCCTGGTGAAATAGTTATCTTAATTTTACATGAAACTCGTAAATACCTTGCAGGGCCCATAAGAGTACACCATTTGCTAATAGCGTTCTTGGTAGCCAGTACCATCGCGATGATAGGGCCACTTGAAATATGTGCTACAAGGTGCGGGAAGTGGTGCTTTCCATAATGACCTCTATATAATTCCGCGGCTTGCTCCGGAGTCAAGTGCACTGTACGGCGCTGAAAGAAATGTATAAGTACAATATAATAATAAAAAAAAATATATGTCTAGTTTACACATATATCAGTAATTCTCTCTGTACGACATGGGCTCCTCTAAAAATAAATTCTTAGAATGCGAGTTGGGGAATTTCACATGACCATGACGTGTAATGATAGTTATGACACTTTTAGAAGATTCCTACATTCCAATGTACCCGTCGATTTCATTTCGTAAGCATTATTTTTTATTTTTACTGCTTTCGTGGCAAATGCCACTCAGACTGCCAGACTGACGGCCTTTCAGAGGTCTCGGGTTCGATTCCCGTGCCGAAATGTTTGTATGGCCTACATTTATTTCTCTCGTGAGTTTGGGTGTAATTTGTGGTTGTCTATGTGTGTGTCTCCATGGCACCCGCGATGAAGGGTTTCCCTGTGCGGGTCTATGTGTGCGCGTTATTTGTCAAGCATATTTAATTAATTTATTTTATGTATTAATACTGATTGTACTTAGGTAATGTTTTGTATAACTTTAATAGGATGGCAGATTTATATTCCTAGACGTAGAAAAATTTTGTTTAACTATTCAGAAATTCTGAAGAATATTTAGCAATGTACAGATATTTTAATTATGAAAGTTCAAAGAGCTCCCGATATTGCGGGCAGGGCAGCCCTCGTAATGCCTATAGGAATATGTAATTCTTTTTATGGTTTTGATAGATAACAGCAGTGACCGAAGCGAGCGAGGGTGCTCTGTTCAAGATTGTCTAGTGCATAGGGCTGCCACAACATTAATATATAGGTGGATTCTTTAAGCAGATGACTCTATTTCTTTTTTGGTTACATTTAGTTATATTAGTACATTTTTGGTGCAATAAATAATAATAATAATATCTGGAAAGTAACAACTTTTCAAGAGACTTAAACATTTTACTAACGAAATTTGTCGATAACTTTTTTATACTTGAATAGGAGAGTTAAGGTGGTTTTCCACCGGCGAGGCGAGACAAGACGAGACGTTGATTGAAATTTGTATGACAAAATTTCAATTCTCTCCTATCCCATCTTCGGTGGAAATGGTCTGTATTGACGAGGATGGGCGAGGCGGAAATTTAAGTATTTGTTTATATATTATTGAACCGTATGGCTACCTACATAGAATATTATACTCTTTAACACACGATTTGAAACACGATTTCCCGCGAGTGCCCACACAATCTCGCGCGAGCTCGCTGTGGCTATTAATATCAATTGCGAGAGTATGGGGTACGAACGATTTGAGATTTAAAAAAAGATGGTTTCATCTGATTCTTCTTCCGTTAACAAATTAATAATAATAATTTACAGGATATGAAACTTCAGCCGCGTAGTTATCGCTAGATGAACTTAACAGCACTGAATCTTCACTATACACCATCACGCGATGATTCGCGCGAGCTGGCGGTGGCTCACGCGACCTATAAATGGCAATTTTTGGTGGAAATAGGCCAGCGAGATTTCAATTCTCGTCTCTCCTCGTCACGTCTAATCTCGCCGGTGAAAAATCACCATCATCGAATTTCACATAATTTGTTTCATGTAGTTCGTATTATTTTCTGACTTTCATGTGATAACAGCACTTGTGATCACGTGTGGCTTTATTATACCAAAGTTAAATTTATTTAGATATTCACGTACTAGTAAAATTTATTAATACAGAAAAGAAACGTTTGTACCACCAAGAATAAAAACTGCTTTAAAACAAATCTTTAAGCAACACGTTATCGCAGTTAATACAAAAAGCACGACTAGTAAGACACGGCGTTCGCATTTTTTTTACATCATTTCTACAAGCAAGTCTCACTGCAACTGCTACGCTGCCGCCATTAGTTGAAAGGCGCATGTGACACTTTTTTTAAAAATTAGTTACATGTACTGCCGTGATCTGCCATAAAAGACGAATCTGCCACTATTTATATTATTTTCCGAGTTGGATTAGGTTAACGTTACCGTAAGAGAAAAGGGCGTAAGTGCCCACATTTTTATGGTCAAACTAAGTTAAATGGACGCATTTACAAAACAAATTGGTAAAAAGGTGTAATTGAATATAAACATCATTTCGTTTTAACTACACATTTCAATCACTTAAGTAACTGAAAAGACGCAAGTTACATTTAACTTTCTAAATCTTCCTTAGTTAAAGCTCTAAGAGTCGTATTCTAGAACTCTACTCAATACTCAAGTCAGGACTTGAGTATTGCAGTGAGCACTGAAAATCATACTCAAGTCCTTGCCATTAGGATCGTATTTCCAGTGCTTGAAATCATACTCAAGTCTGCTAAAATCCTGACTTGAGCATTGAGTAGAGTTCTTACACAATGTAATGTTACACAATGATCACTTAAATTTAAAGTAAGGTGGAAATGTTACCTTTCACTTAAATAATAAACATCTTGAAAATGTCAAACTACGACATTGAAAAGACATTGTAACTACATGCTGCGCTGTCATCTTATTATTACACTAACGTTAACAATAATGTTGTGATTATGCTAAGTTGAAAAGGCATTAAGTGGTTGCTTGCGCCCATCTTACCTAGTATTTTACGAACATTTTGTTTACTAATTTGAAAATGAAAAAGGGTAATATTTAAATAATGAAGCATAAATAATAAAATATTTTAATTCCATATTTTGCGTATAATATAGGCTTATCTTAACGTTTGCAGAAAGTGTGTACGTTTTTCATTTGAAAACAGCAAATATTTTTTATTTAAATTCTTTAAACATTATTTAACGATTTTGAGTTTTTGTCTCAAGCGCCCTTTCAACTAACAGTGGCAGTATGGACAGGCGTATCGCTTACCACCACGCGCACTGCTTGTTCGTCCTGTCACTTATCAACAAAAAAAATGCGAATTACGACAATAAGTCGGTATGTACATTGTTTTTTTTATTGGTAAAAGTGAAATTAAATTAAATGAAAATTTTTTTCAAATTTTGTTTTTAATTTTTTTTTATTGTGACTCGGCAAAATGACTGCACCGCGCCTGATGGAAAGTGCGAATACAGTCCAGAGATGAGAGTAACGGATGGAAAACACAAATATCTTCACTCCGTCACTATCATTTTGCCGGTCTGGCCAAATGCTTCTTCACACTACTAATAAAATACAATAAAAATTTAATAATTAAAATTTTAATTTAAAATTTTATTTATGACTAGTAAAATAAGTCATACTTGATTAACCTCTGTAAAACTAGGCAAATTTATTTTCTCCGCGAGAATTGGTTAACTAATTACTGAATTTACACAAAATGAGCTATGACAACCCTATCAGTAATAAGGGTTGGCTATGACGCGGAATAATGAATGCTCCCCTACAAACGCTGTATGAGTTTTGCATACACACGTAACCCTCTCGCTGCCGGCCACTCGGACGTATCTCCCCTTTGGAAAGGAGTCTGTCAGATATCATTCCAATCCTGTGTTATCGTTTACCAATATTTTTTTAACAACATGTCTGGCGGTTTATTCCTTCTAAATCTGAGTCTAAAAAAGCCGTATAAAGGGTGAGACACACTCATCGACAAAGAACTCACAAAATATGGGGATGCGCTTGTAGCAACGATGTAAAAAATCAACGCCGTCACATACTAAACGTTCTTATTGTAAACAGGACTAATGTGTTGTTGATAATGATGGAAAGCGACGATAAGGTCGACGATGTAACATGCACTCTTAAATATTGCCTATTCACTCTCGCCTTGAAAAGGCTCAAGTTATAGCATTTAGGGAAAAAGTCTGCAGGCAGAAATTTCCACTCCTTAGGCATTCGCCATATAAATGTGGAAGCAAAACGCTTCGTGTGAATCTGGAATATCCACAACATAGGCGTGGAGTCGAAACCTCCGTCTAGTCGCATTATGATAGAAAGGGGAAGAAGGAATTAAATCATGCAATTCCATCGCACACTCTCCGTGATATAACCTACTCTGTGGAGAACGTTTTAAGAGACACGGTTTAGGTCAATAAATATAGTCTGCGATTCACCTGTATATGTTTATGGTTTAAAAAAACATGTTTCTGGCGCCCAAAGCCGATGAGTCGAATCCAAAATTGGAAAAAAAATGCGAATCATATGTCCGCCCAAAGTTGTGACGTGATTATTATAATCAATGAACAGTGTATGCCTTGTCTAGAATAGAAATAAAAATAAATGTTAGACAACATCATATACGTTGCTCTGATCCCAAAGTAGCTAAAGCACTTGTGTTATGGAAACCGGAAACAACAACAGTACAACACCCAGACCCTAGATGGAAAAGTTAGTTTTTTCTACACTGAGAGATGGCGGAGATGACCACATCATAAAAACCGGAGTGCAAGCCATTCGACCACGGAGGTAGTGAAATTAATTAACAATTTTAATAATTTAGCATATTCTGAATTCAGCTCTGTAGTAAGTAATAAAAAATATTACTATGGTGGATCACTGAAGAATAGCGAATTATGTGAATACTTTACATACGACATCTAAATACGTTCAACTATCTATGCCGAAAAGTTTTTGCATATTTAAACTGCACCCTTTCCCTTCCAGTCAGGTTTGCAAACAAACTTCCCTAAAAAGGATGTGCCTGTAGCGAAATGCTTTGGATTTTTATACAGTTTCCACATTGAACCAACTTTGACGTATTCATTCCCATGACATATTAGGTTTCCTAAATTACCGGACACTGTAAAAGAATTAAATTTATAGATAATTGCTACTACAATATTGATGATTTTTTCTTCACATTATAAAATGTAAAAACTAACTAATTTAGGTTATTTTTTTACTTCCTATTTTTCTATTAAATTGTAATTGTTATTGTACATATGTTTTGTTATGCTATTGTACAAATTTGATTATAATGCATGCTACATCAAAAGTAAAATAAGAATGTATAAAACATTTGCGTGCCAGGTTTTGGTGAAATGTACGATCCAACACAATATACTTTTTTTCTCCTATATCTTCTTGTAATGCGTCTCCAACAG